GTCGACGAAGTCGTGGACGGTGTGTTCGAGCCTCTGAACCTCCCGGCCTCGGCCTCGAGCCTGCTGGGGAGCATCTCCACTGCCTTCTCCTGCGACGACCTCCCCTACGGCTACTACGCCGACCGCGACAACGCCTGCCGCGTCTACCACGTGTGCTACCCGGCGCTCTTCGCCGACGGCGCCAGCGTCACGTACCAGTACAGGTGAGGCGCCGCTGGGAGGCTCCTCGCAGAGTGGCAGATGCAGAGATAGATAGAGAACAGTGTAAAGCTCATTCGTAGAGTGTGTAATGTCTTTTTGTATGGTTGAGTGTGCTTATTATACACACACACACACGCACACACACACACACTGATACATAGATACTTCCATATCCGTTTACCAAACTCTTCTTCGCAGCTTCATGTGTGGCGCGGGGACGGTGTTCGACCAGAGGGAGCTAACCTGCGTGGATCCTTCCGTGGCGAGCCCTTGCGAGGAATCCAATAACTACTATTTCACCAACGAGCAATTCGGTCTCCCCGAGGAAAGGCTACAGTTTCTATAGAGATATACTGGAAGTGTCTGTTGTTGTTAGGTACAGTCGCGGTTCAACTTTTATCTCCCTGGTGTGAAGCCTCGAAACACTGTCTCGAAATCCTATATGGAAGATTCACAGACCGGTTTCAAAATTGCAACACTATACCGATTTTTTTTTTAAGTGCCATATCTAAATCTGAAATCACTATACCTAGAAGCATCATAACAAAGACTGAAGCCTCGAAATATTAAACGTTACATTGGCTGGTTATTTGAGTCGGGTTTCGGATCGTGTTGACAAGAGTTCGAACCGTGAGCGTACAAGATGTTTTGTTTATATATCATCTTTTGTAAATAAATGTGTTGATATCATTCAGATAAAGTAATACATCCCTGTTATTTAGTATGAAAATTCCCGGGGAGAATCACAGAATGACAAAAAGAATTGTCATTTATCATTGCAAGGAGTAATGTTAAGTGCTGTTATTTCATGTGATAACTTCCAACATCATAAGCTATGAATTGTCCTTTATCATTGCAAGGAGTAATGTTAAGTGCTGTTATTTCATGTGATAACTTCCAACATCATAAGCTTAATAGTATTATCAATAGCTGTTGATTAATCATACTGATGAAAAATAATATATTCAAAAGTGACACTGATATTAAGAATAACAATATATCATATATCATTAAAGATAACTGCAAATTTATTGCTCCAATACTATTGATAGTAATCATAAGGGCTACCGATTACTCCTTTTGATTAATATCAATGATAATATAATTTATTATTTGTATAATAATGATATAAAGGGTAACGATACAGAAATCAGTAACAACGGCACACGCATAATAAAGGTATAATGATAGCTATGATAATGATAATGCTAAAGACGATAATTATAACAGTAATAAACTTAATTACACTATCATTAATAAGGATATTAATGATAATTGGGGTAACGAGACTGATCATAACTGTAATAATAATGGGGAAAATGTACTGCTATAACTAAAAATGATAATTACTGTTGCTATCAATGCCATTAGTTTATCATTATAATTATCAGTATTATTATACTGTATTTTTCGCGATATTAATGACATTACCGTTTATCTAATATTTCCCTTCTAAGCATAAACCAGCAATTATTGTTTACAATGTTTTTTCTTTTATCCTTATCACATGGGAATTATTGACGCCATGACTTTTACAACAAATAAAAGTGAAAATAACAACACACTGATAATGATATTAGCTTCACCCTTTATCAAAATTATTTTGTACGTAGTCAAGAACTGCCATACATGGTAAATGTTCAGATAATATATATATATATATATATATATATATATATATATATATATATATATATATATATGTATATGTATATATATATATATGTATATATATATATATATATATATATATATATATATATATATATATATATATATATATACACATATATATATATACATATATATATATAAATATATATATATATATATATATATACATATATATATATACATATATATATATATATATATATATATATATATATATATATATATATATATATATATATGATGAACTGCATTCATGTTGACAAATGTATAAATGGTATGAATGATCTGAACCAACATCAATCGACATCGAATTCATACGATTTTTTTTTTTTTTCCTTTTTATTAGACCTGACCCAAATACGTCAAGCACCTATCGCAGTGGCTCCCAAGGTGACAGGTTACACTTCGAGTCGACCCGAGTAAGAAGGGCATCTACACCGGAAAGGGCAGAAGTAAAAAAAAAAATCCTATAAAAAGACCTATGAAGGAATTGTTTTAACATTGGATTCTCGAGTCCCAGGCTTGTGACAGGACAAGTTCATGGCATTCAAGAAGTCACCCGTATTTTTCTCTTGTAGTACTTATAAGAAATTATTGCAAAGGTATTTCATGTGAAAATCTGATCCATTTTGATAGCCAGACACTCAATAATAACTGATAAAAAAGTGATATTAGCAGTAATAGCCGGGGACGGGTAAATATAGCGATACCCTTAAATTATATTTGCCACTTTCTGTCAAATCTCAGAATCAGAAGCAGATCAAGATCAAGAAAATCAAGGAACCTGTTGCGGCCTTCGAATGCTCATCGAATTTGTCAGAACCACCAATCTCTACACTTACCGAACGAATTTGGAAGTCCGTTAAATTAACTTAAAGAAACATAAAACATGTGGCATAGGCTAAACTATTGCGTTTTCGTATATAAAAATCTTAAAATTGCTTTGCATCCTACGTGGTAAAGGTCAGGGTTTGAAATCTGTCAATATAGGTCTAGTTTAAAGAGTCTTAAAATATAGTTTTGAAGCATTGTTTTACCCAAATATGCGTCGTCGTCAGGGTCCTGATCCTGTAAAATGTCTTCATGCCATGCAAGCTATGGCCATGAACATGATTTAATTAATACAGCTGGGGTTAGTGGAGATGATTGGCGATTCCTTTGCAGGTTTTCGAAGTCGATCGTACCGAAGAAAATGGGGCCTAGTCCAATAGGCCTGTGATCTGGCTGGCCTGGCCCTAACTATTAGCAAAATCCTGTGTTAAAATACATCTTAACTGTGGTTTTGATTTTTACAGTTGCAAGTGTGACAGATGTGAGTTATGTGAAACTCCAGAGGAAAAAATGAGTTGCACAGAAAAGATGCCAATACAGGAAAAAATTGTTGAGTACAACAACAATTTTGGGGGAAACATTAAGTGCATTATACAGCATCCAGGTTTCATATTCAACTGTCTGGATGTCTGGGTTCTGCAGAATGTTTATGATCATTTCAAAGTGCTACATAAACACAGATTTGAAGGAGAAACCAATTGAGTGTGTTAAATTAGATAATCAAATATATTTTTACAGATACACTATTAATAATATTTACAACATCTATATATCTACAAATGTGTACAGTATTAATAACAATATTACTAAAACATCTTTTTTATTTCAACCTGGCTATCACAAGTTCATTTTTTTTCCACTCTTTATTGCAGGAAGTATAGAAACACTGCATACCGCCAACTAGTAAGATGGTGCTGGAAAATATTAGGCAAGAAGAATCGTTTGCATACAAAATATCACACGAAAATATCACACAAAAAGTTCTCATCCATGCATTCACGGCGATGACAAAAATGAACACAACTTATGACGTCATTCCCGGGTTGGTGGCGCTACTGGTAATATTTGAGTTATAAGCTGTAGCAGACGACGTTTTGGGCCCAGAATTTGTTTATTCAAAAGGCTATAAATATAAAACGCGTTTTTTTTTTTTTTTTTTTTTATTCATTTTTTTAAATCTTATGCATAAGTCCGATATGCGAAGCTGAGCCTCGCCCGGGCTATGAGGGGAGCCCGATATGTGCCGACTAATGACGACTCGCTAACAGTGTGTCAGCTGGTGCTGACTCGGGTGAGCTTAGTCCTTACCCACCGTGGTGCCCAGCCACAGCAGTAACCTCCAGGCGACAATTGCAACTTCTCGCGCCTGGGCGGGGCGCGAACCGCCGACCCCTCGGATGAGAGGCCGACACGTTACCACTGTACTAGCCCGGAGGCTCTTATGCATATTTGGAGGTACGAGAACAAATTCTGATATGAATATCATGCATTTAATTCACATAGTGGTTACTCTTTAATAACTCAGGTAACTTTGGAATGGATGTGTATATATATATATGGTATGTTAGGTTTGATACAATCCATTTAACAGACAAATGGTTGAAAGATAATGGATGAACAAGAGATTTCTTTTTCAATTTATCAAAGCAATTCTTTAAACAATTTTTGTATGTGGCCACGTGGTATGTCCTAAAAAGCTGTGTGCCGCCTGGTGACATCCCAACATGTAGGCCTGTTATAACTATATGTATCAAACATGTGTATATGTATATATACGTGTATGTATATGCGCGTGTGATATTCAAATAGTTGTAATCCTGCATAAACAGTAATTTTCTAATTATTGTAATTTTCTATTTACTGTCTAATTCTCAGCAATATAATACTTATCTGACCAATGTAAGCTGGAGAACAGGAATCCAAAAGTAAAATATATACAGAAGATACTAATAAAAACTGAAAGGGATATTATACAATGCAGTCTGATTTCCTTTTTCTTTGCCAACTGTTCTGTTGTTGCTGCTTCTATGCCTTTGTAATGAGTCATGAGATAGAATGCGCTACATCTATGTTCATTTGAATATCACATTCTTTGGAAACAAAAGTTTGTATGTCTCATGCATGAGTTTTAGCCTGTTAGTGATCTACAAATCCCAGTTAATATTTCAGTACATAATTCCATTAAGCAGGTTCAGTATGGACAGCAATAATAGAAATTTGTAACACTTAAACTTTATTTGGTATTATATAAAAATACATTCGTTGTGTCGGCAGAAAAGTCGTCTTCAGCAGACTTATTGCGATTTTTCTTCAGGGCGACCGAACTGCTCATTTGTGTAGTAGTAACTAGAGGATTCCTGGCATGGGATAGCATCAGCCTGTACCTTGCAGGTGAGTTCCTTTTGATCGAATACAGATCCCTCACCGCACAAGAAGCTGGGAAACAGATAAAACGTTTTATATTACTTTTGAAATGTCCTAAAATTATGTTTCTTGATATAAGACCATAAGATCATAATCTTAATAAAAAGTAATAATGCTGACTGTATATCAATATACTACAAAATATCATAGAACGTACCTGTACTGATAGGTTTCGATAGCACCAGTAGAGAAACGAGCTGGGTAACAAATATGGAACACACGGCATGAGTTTTCTTCATCAGCGTAATATCCATAGGGACGGTCAAGGCAGGAGTAGGAGGTTGAGACTCTTCCCAGTAGTTGAGAGGCTCCAGCTGGGAGATTCAGAGGCTCAAACACTCCATCAGCTGGCAAAGGCTCAACTTGGAAGCCACTTCCGAAAGAGGAACCACTGATGATTGAAGAACCTGAGCCAAATCCACTTGTACTTGATCCAAAACCAGAACCAGATGAACCAGACTGGAATCCACCACCAAGGGAAGAACTTGATCCAAATCCTGCACCAGATGAACCAGATTGGAACCCACCACCAAGGGAAGAACTTGATCCAAATCCTGCACCAGATGAACCAGATTGGAATCCACTACTAAGGGAGGAACCAGAACTAAATCCAGATCCAGAGGACAGACCAGACTGGGATCCAGAACCTGAACCAAATCCAGAACCAGATGAGAAAGCAGATTGGGATCCAGCACCTGTGCCAAATCCAGAACTAGATTGGAATCCACTGCCAAGGGAAGAAGTGGAGCTAATTCCAGAACCAGATGGTGAACCAGACTGGAATCCACTACCAAGGGAAGAGCTTGATCCAAATCCAGATCCAGATGAGAAACCAGACTGGGATCCAGAACTTGAACCAGATTGGAATCCACTGCCAAGGGAGGAAGTGGAGCCAATTCCAGAACCAGAAGATGATCCAGGTTGGAATCCACTGCCAAGAGATGAACTGGAACCAAATGCAGAACTAGATGAGAAACCAGACTGGGATCCAGAACTTGAACCAGATTGGAATCCACTGCCAAGGGAGGAAATGGAGCTAATTCCAGAACCAGATGATGATCCTGGCTGGAATCCACTGTCAAGAGAGGAACTGGAACCAAATGCAGAACTAGATTGTGATCCACTGCCAAGGGAAGAAATTGAAGAAACTCCAGAACCAGATGATCCAGACTGGAATCCACTACTGAGCGAAGAACTTGGCCCAAATCCATTGGTGCTTCCACTGGAAGATCCAAATCCAGATCCACTGCTACTCAATGAACCTGACTGGAATTGACCACCAGAAGAGCTGGATCCAAATCCGCTACCACCTGATTGGAATTGTCCACTGGAAGAACCAGATCCACTGTTGAAGGAGCCAGAATCAGACCCAAATCCACTAGTGAGGGAAGAACCAGAACCACTGCTGAGAGAAGAACTAGACCCAAATCCACTGCTGAGGGAGCTAGAACCAGATCCACTGCTGAAGGAAGAACCAGACCCAAATCCACTGCTAAGTGAAGAGTCAGACCCAAATCCACTACCACTTGATGAGCTTGGCTGAAACTGACTACTGGAAGAACCAGACCCAAATCCAGTGCTGAAGGAGCTTGAACCAGATCCACTGCCGAAGGAACTTGAACCAGATCCACTGCTGAGGGAAGAACCAGACCCAAATCCACTGCTGAAGGAAGAACCAGACCCAAATCCACTGCTGAGGGAAGAACCAGATCCACTGCTGAGGGAACCAGAGCCAAATCCATTGCTGAAGGAGCTTGAACCAGATCCACTGCCGAAGGAGTTTGAACCAGATCCACTGCCGAAGGAGTTTGAACCAGATCCACTGCTGAGGGAAGAACCAGACCCAAATCCACTGCTGAGGGAAGAACCAGATCCACTGCTGAAGGAGCTAGAACCAAAACCACTGTTGAGGGAACTAGACCCAAATCCACTACCACTTGATGAGCCTGACTGGAATTGACCACTGGAAGAGCCAGATCCAAATCCACTGCTGAGGGAAGAACCAGCTCCACTGCTGAAGGAGCCCGAACCAGACCCAAAACCACTGCTAAGGGAACTAGACCCAAATCCACTGCCACTTGATGAGCCTGATTGGAACTGACCACTGGAAGAACCAGAACCAAAGCCACTGTTAAAGGTAGAACCGGATCCACCTGTGGAGAGCTTTACAGTGTTACTGCCAAATGTACTGGATTGGAAATTGCCACTATTTCCAGAAGGAGTCTGAGAACCAGACTGAATTCCACTGCCAAGAGAAGAACCAAACTGTGTTCCAGATCCTCTTGAGGAACCAAACCCAAACCCATTGCTGCCTGATGATCCTGTTGAACTAAATTGGGATCCACTTCCAAAAGAACTAGACGTGAATCCAGAGCCTTGTGAGCCTGATTGGAAGCGTCCACTGGGACCGACGCCATTGCTGCTAGGAGTAAAGAAGCTACTGCTAGCGACGTTCCCAGATGAAAAACTGGACTGGGAATTACTGCCGAATCCTGCATTCTGGAATCCATTATTCCTCTGGAAGCTACTAGCACTGGAACTGGAGAATGAGCCGCCCTTTTGGAAGAAACCTGCACCAGCAAGTTTCACAGCGACATCAGGAACTGTCTGCTGAAATCGTTGACCAGCAGCCAATGCTGCCACCAGCACTGAAAAGAAACAAAATTGTTTTTCTTTGATAAAGGTAAAGTTATTACAGATCGGAAAAATGCATAACTATTTTCTTATGCAGTATAAAATGAAACAGTTTCACTAGTTCCTTACAAATTATAATGGTCTTCATGGTTACTTGGTGGTGGCTGAGGCTGAACTGTGCTGGAATGTCAATTCGAGTTGTTTATATAGGCCAAAGCACGATAGCAAAGACGACGGACAGAAGTGAAAGGAATTACACAGAACAGGTTTTAAGGGAAAGTGTCTTTTCAGATATTTGTTTTATTATCTCATAGAAGAATCGATAAATCAATAGATGGACAATGAAAAGGTTTGCACCAATAAATGCACGTTTGAATTAACCCATTCGCGCCGGGTGTCACGTATACGTGACATGCCCACTGTGAGTTTACTTGTTTAATTGTTTTTACACATGGATGGCTACACTTGTACTTGTACTGCCTGTCTCGCCCGTTTACCCTTTTCTTTAATTTACGTAAATATTTTATGGTATCTTATTTTGCTCTTACTAATGTTTATAACATTATAGTAATTATAAAGTTTATGATAGAAATAACCATCGATATTTATACCACTAGTAAAAAATATATTTTCCCGCCAAATGAAATCAGGTAAGGCAGAGCCATCTATGTGTAGAGACATTTCACAAAAGTATAAAAAAAATTAGCACATCATTTTCCCCATTTTTTGTTTATTTTTACCCGTCGCGAATAGGTTAATAAAACAGTAAAAACAAATGCACAAATAGAACTGATTTATCTTCATCTATATACGCACACGTACACACATAAAAAAGTAGATAATATATATACACACACATATATATATATATATATATATATATATATATATATATATATATATATATATATATATTATATATATATACATATATATACATATATATATATATATATATATATATATATATATATATATATATATATATATATATATATATATATATATATATATGGGTGTGTGTGTGTGTGTGTGTGTGTGTATGTATGGTATGTTAAAATTAAATAAAATCCATTTAACAGACACAAACGGTTGAATGATAATAGATGAACAAGAGATTTCTTTTTCAGATTATCAAAGCAATTCTTCAAACAATTTTGTATGTGGCCACGCGGCATGTCCCAAAGAACTGTGTGCCGCCTGGTGACATCCCTATAAGTAGGCCTTTGTTTATATGTATGAAACATGTGTATAAATGTATATACGTGTATTTATTTATATTTATACAGAGTTATAATCCTGCATAAACAGTAATTTTCCAATTATTGTAATATTTTATTTACTGTCTAATTCTCAGCAATATAATACTTATCTGACCAATATAAGCCGGAGAACAAGAATCCAAAAGTAAAATATATACAGAAGATACTAATAAAAGCTGAAAGGGATATTATACAATGCAGTCTGTTTTTCTTTTTTCTTTGCCAACTGTTCTGTTGTTGCTGCTTCTTTGCCTTTGTAATGAGTCATGAGATAGAATACGCTACATCTATGAGACTTCCTGTTCATTTGAATATCAAAAACATTCTTTGGAAACAAGTTTGTATGTCTCATGCATGAGTTTTAGCCTGTTAGTGATCTACAAATCCCAGTTAATATTTCAGTACATAATTCCATTAAGCAGGTTCAGTATGGACAGCAATAATAGAAATTTGTAACACTTAAACTTTATTTGGTATTATATAAATATACATTCGTTGTGTCGGCAGAAAAGTCGTCTTCAGCAGACTTATTGCGATTTTTCTTCAGGGCGACCGAACTGCTCATTTGTGTAGTAGTAACTAGAGGATTCCTGGCATGGGATAGCATCAGCCTGTACCTTGCAGGTGAGTTCCTTTTGATCGAATACAGATCCCTCACCGCACAAGAAGCTGGGAAACAGATAAAACGTTTTATATTACTTTTGAAAGGTCTTAAAATTCTGTTTCTTAATATAAGACCATAAGATCATAATCTTAATAAAAGGTAATAATGCTGACTGCATATCAATATACTACAAAATATCATAGAACGTACCTGTACTGATAGGTTTCGATAGCACCAGTAGAGAAACGAGCTGGGTAACAAATATGGAACACACGGCATGAGTTTTCTTCATCAGCGTAATATCCATAGGGACGGTCAAGGCAGGAGTAGGAGGTTGAGACTCTTCCCAGTAGTTGAGAGGCTCCAGCTGGGAGATTCAGAGGCTCAAACACTCCATCAGCTAGCAAAGGCTCAACTTGGAAGCCACTTCCGAAAGAGGAACCACTGATGATTGAGGAACCTGAGCCAAATCCACTTGTACTTGATCCAAAACCAGAACCAGATGAACCAGACTGGAATCCACCACCAAGGGAAGAACTTGATCCAAATCCTGCACCAGATGAACCAGATTGGAACCCACCACCAAGGGAAGAACCTGATCCAAATCCTGCACCAGATGAACCAGATTGGAATCCGCTACTAAGGGAGGAACCAGAACTAAATCCAGATCCAGAGGACAGACCAGACTGGGATCCAGAACCTGAACCAAATCCAGAACCAGATGAGAAAGCAGATTGGGATCCAGCACCTGTGCCAAATCCAGAACTAGATTGGAATCCACTGCCAAGGGAAGAAGTGGAGCTAATTCCAGAACCAGATGGTGAACCAGACTGGAATCCACTACCAAGGGAAGAGCTTGATCCAAATCCAGATCCAGATGAGAAACCAGACTGGAATCCAGAACTTGAACCAGATTGGAATCCACTGCCAAGGGAAGAAGTGGAGCCAATTCCAGAACCAGAAGATGATCCAGGTTGGAATCCACTGCCAAGAGATGAACTGGAACCAAATGTAGAACTAGATGAGAAACCAGACTGGGATCCACTTGAACCAGATTGAATCCCTTCCAGAACCAGATGATGATCCTGGCTGGAATCCACTGCCAAGAGAGGAACTGGAACCAAATGCAGAACTAGATTGTGATCCACCGCCAAGGGAAGAAACTCCAGAACCAGATGATCCAGACTGGAATCCACTACTGAGCGAAGAACTTGGCCCAAATCCACTGCTGCTTCCACTGGAAGATCCAAATCCAGATCCACTGCTACTCAATGAACCTGACTGGAATTGACCACCAGAAGAGCTGGATCCAAATCCGCTACCACCTGATTGGAATTGTCCACTGGAAGAACCAGATCCACTGTTGAAGGAGCCAGAATCAGACCCAAATCCACTAGTGAGGGAAGAACCAGAACCACTGCTGAGAGAAGAACTAGACCCAAATCCACTGCTGAGGGAGCTAGAACCAGATCCACTGCTGAAGGAAGAACCAGACCCAAATCCACTGCTAAGTGAAGAGTCAGACCCAAATCCACTACCACTTGATGAGCTTGGCTGGAACTGACTACTGGAAGAACCAGACCCAAATCCACTGCTGAAGGAGCTTGAACCAGATCCACTGCCGAAGGAACTTGAACCAGATCCACTGCTGAGGGAAGAACCAGACCCAAATCCACTGTTGAGGGAAGAACCAGACCCAAATCCACTGCTGAGGGAAGAACCAGATCCACTGCTGAGGGAACCAGAGCCAAATCCATTGCTGAAGGAGCTTGAACCAGATCCACTGCCAAAGGAGCTTGAACCAGATCCACTGCCAAAGGAGCTTGAACCAGATCCACTGCCGAAGGAGTTTGAACCAGATCCACTGCTGAGGGAAGAACCAGACCCAAATCCACTGCTGAGGGAAGAACCAGATCCACTGCTGAAGGAGCTAGAACCAAAACCACTGCTGAGGGAACTAGACCCAAATCCACTACCACTTGATGAGCCTGACTGGAACTGACCACTGGAAGAACCAGATCCAAATCCACTGCTGAGGGAAGAACCAGCTCCACTGACGAAGGAGCCCGAACCAGACCCAAAACCACTGTTGAGGGAACTAGACCCAAATCCACTGCCACTTGATGAGCCTGATTGGAACTGACCACTGGAAGAACCAGAACCAAATCCACTGTTAAAGGTAGAACCGGATCCAATTGTGCTGCCACCTGTGGAGAGCTTTACAGTGTTACTGCCAAATGTACTGGATTGGAAATTGCCGCTATTTCCAGAAGGAGTCTGAGAACCAGACTGAATTCCACTGCCAAGAGAAGAACCAAACTGTGTTCCAGATCCTCTTGAGGAACCAAACCCAAACCCATTGCTGCCTGACGATCCTGTTGAACCAAATTGGGATCCACTTCCAAAAGAACTAGACGTGAATCCAGAGCCTTGTGAGCCTGATTGGAAGCGTCCACTGGGACCGATGCCATTGCTGCTAGGAGTAAAGAAGCTACTGCTAGCGACGTTCCCAGATGAAAAACTGGACTGGGAATTACTGCCGAATCCTGCATTCTGGAATCCATTGTTCCTCTGGAAGCTACTAGCACTGGAACTGGAGAATGAGCCGCCCTTTTGGAAGAAACCTGCACCAGCAAGTTTCACAGCGACATCAGGAACTGTCTGCTGAAATCGTTGACCAGCAGCCAATGCTGCCACCAGCACTGAAAAGAAAAAGTAATTATAGATCGGAAAAATGCATAATTCATTATTTTCTCATGCAGTATAAAATGAAACAGTTTCACTAGTTCCTTACAAATTATAAAGGTCTTCATGGTTACTTGTTGGTGGCTGAGGCTGAACTGTGTTGGAAAGTCAAATCGAGTTGTTTATATAGGCCAAAGCACGGTAGCAAAGACGACGGACAGAAGTGAAAGGAATTACACAGAACAGGTTTCAAGGGAAAGTGTCTTTTCAGATATTTGTTTTATTATCTCATAGAAGAATCGATGAATCAGCAGATGGACAAGGAAAAGGTTTGCATCAATAAATGTATGTTTGAATCAATAAAACAGTGAAAACAAATGCACAAATAGAGTTGATTTATCTGTATCTATACACACACACGTACACACATAAAAATAAATAAAAAAAAAAATATATATATATATATATATATATTATATATATATATATATATATATATATATATATATATATATATATATATATATATACATATATATAAGTACATATGTATATATATACATATATATATATATATACATATATATGTATATATGT